CGTGCGCGCAGCGGGGCGGGCGGCCCGCCCGCCCCCGGCGAGGCCTGCGGGGGATGTCACCGCGGCACGGTGTCAGGCCAACAGCGAGATAACAACGGCTGCTGCCGTTACTCGGTTGTGGGGTTTTCTGTTTATGTTGTTCTTTAAAACTGGTCATTTTGAGGAGCGGTGGGGTGCTGCACGTGTGAGACACAAGCGGTGGGTGTGTTTGCAGGTACTCTGGCTCTTCTGGTTTGGTAGGAACACCGGTTTGAATCAAGAATCCCTAACGACAAGCAAAAGGCAATAAAAGTAGGAAACGTGATCTCAGTGCTCCTAGCGGTCATTTTCTGATATGTAGCTTAGCTTACCTTATCGTAAGTGCTGGTATGTACCAGATGTGAAAGTGTAATGCCATGACAACCCCTGTCTGGTTCAGCTGCATTTAGCAGTGCTTGTCCTTAGCACTAGGATGCTGTATTGGGCTTGTGTGGCGAGGTTTTGGTAGTGGGGGGGCTGCAGGAGTGACTGCTGTGAGAAGCTGCTAGAAGCTTCCTTCATGTCAGATGGAGCCTTGGTGCCAGCTGGCTCCAAGACAGACCTGCTGCTGGGCAAGGCTGAGCCAGTCAGTGATGGTGGTAGCACCTCTGTCATAATGTATTAAAGAAGAGGGAAAAAAACTGCTGCACAACAGCAGCTGGGAGAGAGGTGTGAGAATGTGAAAGAAACAGCCCTGCAGACACCAAGGTCTGTGAAGAAGGAGGGGGAGGAGGTGCTCCAGGTGCTGGAGCAGAGATTCCCCTGCAGCCCGTGGGGAAGACCATGGGGAGGCAGGCTGTCCCCCTGCAGTCTGTGGAGGTCCACAGTAGAGCACATATCCCCCTGCAGCCTGTGGAGGACCCCATGCTGGAGCAGGTGGATGCCTGAAGGAGGCTGTGCCTCTTGGCAGGACTTGTGACCCCATGGAGAGGAGCCCACGCTGGAGCAGGTTTTCTGGCAGGACTTGTGACCCCGTGGGGAACCCACGCTGGAGCAGTCTGTTCCTGAAGGACTGCGCCCCATGGAAAGGACCCACTCTGGAGCAGTTTTTGAAGAACTGCAGCCCATGGGAAGGACCCACCTTGGAGGAGTTTGTGGAGGACTGTCTCCCATGCGAGGGACACCATGCTGGAGCAGGGGAAGAGTGTGACCACAACCCTTGTTCTCTGTTTGGGGGGAAGAGGTAGAGAAGTTGGGAGTGACTGAAGTTGACCCCAGGAGGAAGGGAGGGGTGGGGGGAAGGTGTCTTTAGACTTGTTTTTATTTCTCATTACCCTAGTCTGATTTGGTTGGTAATAAATTAAAATAATTTCCCTGAGCTGAGTCTGGTTTGCCCATGATGGTAATTGGTAAGTGATCTCTCCCTGTTGTTATCTCAACCTGTGAGCATTTCATTGTATTTTCTCCCCTTGTCCAGTTGAGGAGGGGGAGTGATAGAGCAGCTTGGTGGGCACCTGGCAGCCAGCCAAGCTCAACCTACCACAGATGCTTATCATTCACATTGATTATGTTGGGAAAACAAGCAAGGGTCTGTTTCTTATACTTTGTCTCTTTTTTTTATCTTGGGGGGGGGGGCGGGTTGTTTGGGGTGGATGTTTTTTATCTGTGTGGTTCATGGTGGAGAGTGCCTCTTCAGCAATGAGAATAGGAAAAACTTAGGACAAATGAACAAAAAAAGATGTCATGAGAAGTGAGATGTAATTAGTTACAGCTTAACAAGGTCGGCTGCTAACATACATGGGTAAGTTTGGGGATGTTTAGTAGCCAGTGTATGTCTGCTGAGACAAGCTATTTTGGCAGGGTCCTTTGCAGTATGTTAGGAGAGGACTACTGTAAGAATGTGCAAGGTAATTATTCCCTTTCATAGTATTCCTGTATTATTTTTTTATTTCTGGAAGCAGGGAAATGAGAATGAACTGCTCACCTGGATCTTGTTTTGGATGTGGATGGATGTGTTTCAGGGTGATGCTGCTTCCTTTACAAGGGTTCTGTTTTGCTTGATGCTAAATTGTCAGCTGTAACATGGAAATAAATTACACAACGCTCTGAGTTGTTAATGTTAAAGAAGATTCTGCTAAGTGGTTTTTTGAGACAGAATGCTGTCCCAAATGTTGTAAGCTGGGCTAAAGCTTACTACTGTCAGTATTCAAGACTGCTGTCGATAGGCTGTAGAGACCCTTACCAGCTCTCATGGGCCTGGCCCTCCTTGTTTCTGTGGTAAAAGACAGTGAAAAATAGGAAACACTATTCTGCTGTTGCTTTTCCAGTACTTGGGATTATTGTGTGGAAATTGTGCCATTCCTGGCAATGAAAGAAAGGGGCTGCAAGAAATACTGATGCTTATACCTATTTATAGAAGGGGCTTGGCATACTGACAAGAGTAGGTGGTAACCACGGGTCCTAAAGGCAACAAAGCAGTTGTGCAAAATTTTTTTTTTTAAATTAATAGAAAGTGGTTTCCAAATTAAAGTAGCTACCTAAACTGAAGAAAGGAAAAACCCCTCACCTTATTGTTTTATTTCTTTCTTTTCACAGTGTCTTAAGTCTTGACCTAATCTTTACAGCTTTCATGCCTTCAGTGCCAAAAAGCAAGACGCTAGGGTAAGAAAAGGTTGGTTTGTTTGTTTGTTTTTTTTCTTAACTCCAGATTTAGGTAGTGCTGAGATTTTGCTTTATAAATCATACTTGGAATTTTCTACAATGATTTTGATTATCTTTTGGCTCTGCAGTTACTAACAGCAACAGCTGTGCTTCTCCTAAACATGTTCTTCTTACTGTCTTTGTGTCATTATATCATTGCTCTCAGAGTGCACAAATGATTGTATGATGTTTCTGTGGAGGTTATTTGCTATTGGGAAGACTGGAAATGGTGCTTTGAGAAGTGGGGTGTAAATGAATAAATAGCATCATGGGGAGGTGTGCCCAGCTCAAGAATGCATTTAGCAATTCCTAACCATTTTCTGATTGAAGTCTTGAACTGCTGAGTTTGGTTGACCTCCAAACGCCAACATGAATGTTACGTGAAAGCTTATCTCTTCAAAGCCTTCAAAGAACAGTACCCGCTACCCTTTGACTGGGTACTACTGCCTTAAGGTTTTCCTTTTGGTGATTTTTAAATTTGCTAAATGTCTGTGAACTTCTTACCTCTTCTCAGGTGGATGAAATGTTGATGGTACTCTGACAACAGTGCTGGTAATCATCTTCTGTGATCTGTTTCTTTGGGAGTGCAAAGTCAGCAGAGAGAAAGTAAGTGTTCCAAATAATGTATAGTGAGAAGAAAGACTTATTTTTGAACAGATGAATCACTATGAAATTATATGCATAGATTAGGAGAACTATAAAATAGCATTTAACTTTATGTTCTGCTAATGTGAAATAATAGCATTCAACAGCCTAATTATGAAGACATATTCTACTAAGTATGTATTTAAGATAAAAAACATTCTTCTTTTTGTACCTGTGCAAAGTCCATGTAGGAAATAGATAATAAAACAGTGTAGTAAAAGTAAGCTTTATTCTCTTTTCTCTCTTTACAATACTTGACCCTTAAATGTTTTAGCCTGCCTATATTTTATATCTTCTAATTCTTTTATGTAATTTCTAAAGAAAGAGAACACTTCTTGCTTAGTATTAAGCAAATAGGCAAATCCCTGCCCACTCAGCAGACTCCTTTAGTATGGACAGAAGTGCTTTGTTGAACAATGATGTCATTGTGATGCTTGAACTTCTTCTTGTAGTTAAGGGTGATGAGATTGGATTTCTAGCTTGTCAGGTTTCCAATACTATGTGTTTTTAATGTACTCTTCAAAAAAATGCCATTAGACTGGGATGCAGTGGATTCCTGTGTTTTTCGCAATGCCATTGTCATGGTTTAACCCCAGCCAGCAACTAAGCACCACACAGCCACTCACCCGCTTCCCCCCTACCCAGTGGGATGGGGGAGAAAATCGGGAAAAGAAGTAAAACTCATGGGTTGAGGCCAGAATGGTTTAATAGAACAGAAAAGAAGAAATTAATAATGATAACACTAATAAAATGACAGCATTAATAATAAAAGAATTGGAATATACAAATGATGCACAGTGCAATTGCTCACCACCTGCCGATTGATGTCCAGTTAGTCCCTGAGTGGCAATCCCCCCGCCCCCACTCGCCCCAGTTCCTATACTAGATGTGACATCCCATGGTATGGAATACCCAGTTGGCCAGTTTGGGTCAGGTGCCCTGGCTGTGTCCTGTGCCAACTTGTGTCCCTCCAGCTTTCTCGCTGGCTGGGCTTGAGAAGCTGAAAAATCCTTGACTTTAGACTAAACACTACTGAGCAACAACTGAAAACATCAGTGTTACCAACATTCTTCACATACTGAACTCAAAACATAGCACTGTACCAGCTACTAGGAAGACAATTAACTCTATCCCAGCTGAAACTAGGACAGTCATGCAATTGCATTGCCATCTAAGCTTTGCAGCAGTGTGCAAGGTGGCATCTTTATTTTTCATTAATCTGGTTCCCAGTTCTAAAGTTAGATCAGAAACTATGCAGGTATTTGTTCAACTGAGGGTGCAGCTTTCTTCCTTCTTTCTACAGTGAGATTTTATTTCCTTGTGGTACCTTTGGTTGTAAATGGCTAGAGCTCAAAGAGTGGGATGAGAAAGGCCAGCAGCAGAGTACAGATCCTGAAGTTCAGGAAAGCACATTTAGACTTCTTTGGGGGATGCTTTGATAGGACCCTGTGAGGGGGAAGGAGATCAGGAAAGCTGGCAGAGCTACAAGCACAGCATGAGGTGCAAGAAAAGACCATCACAATACTCAGGAAACCAACTAGTTGTACTGGGAGAATAAACAGTGTGCTCCAGTGCAAAATTGGCAGCATACAGGAGGCAGAAGCAGGAGCAGTCTACAGAGCTGCAGTTTAGAAACACTGCTTGGGGATACAGAGTTGGCATTACAAAAGCCAAAGCTCGGTGCGAATTGAAACTTGCAAGGATGTCAAGGGCAACAAGAGGAGCTTTTACTGATGTATTAATAGTAAAATGTTGAACATAGAAAAGTAGGACATTTTCATGGTGCTAAGAGAGCTGGCCTATGCCCTTGTGAGGTTGCTCTCTGTTAATATTCAAAAGGTCGTGGAGATCTGCAATGACTGCAGAAAGGCAAACGTTGACCTATTTTCGAAAAAGGCAAAAAGGTCAGCGTGGAGTACAAGCAGCATGTCAACCTCACTTCGGTCTATGGGAAGATCATTGGAGTGTGTCCTATTGGAGCACACTTGTGGGCATGAGAAGGAGGAGGAGAATCCAGTCAACTACAAGCCAGTCAATATCACTTCAGTCCCTGGGAAGGTTGGGCAACCTGTCCTTGTAGAAGCCATTTTTAAATGCAAGAACATGGTGTGGCTAGGAGCAGTTGGCATGGATTTACCAAGGGCAAATCATGCCTGCCTGACCAACCTCGTTGCTTTCTATAATGAGGTTACTTGTGCTGTGAACAAGAGGAGGGCAGTGGATATTGTATACTTTACCAAGATCTTTGATAGTCTTCCATTGCATCCCTGTCACCAAATTGGTGAAATATGGCCTGGATAAGTGGACAGTATAGTCAGTGAAAAACTGTCTGGGTGGTTGTACTGAAAGGGTGGTGATCAGTGGTGGAAAGTCTGGTCAGACTGGCAAGGAATGGTGTCCCACAGGCATCAGTAGTGGGTGCAACGCTGTATAGTGCCTTCATTAATGACTTGGATGATGAGTGCACTCAACAAATTTGTGGCCGACACCAAATTGCAGAGAGTGTTCAAAGCACTGGTAAGTAGGGTGCTCTTCAGGTGGACCTGGACAGTCTGGAGAAGTGGACTGACAGGAACCTCTTACAATTCAACATGGAGCAATGCAAGGTCTTGCATCTAGAATGAAAGAATCCCATGGACCAATACAGGCAGGGGCTGACTAGGAAGCAGGTTTACAAAAAAGGTTTATCAGGAGGTCCTAGTAGATACCAGGATGAATGTGAGTCAGGGGGTCTGGCTGTATTAGTAAGAATGTGACATCTGTGACCATGATTATTCCCCTCTATGTGGCACTTGTGAGATAGCGTCTGGAGTGCTACAGCCAGAATTTGGGCTCCCCAGTACAAGAAGGATGCTGGAGCAAGTCCAGTAGGGGTCATCAGGATGATCGGGGTCGGTAGCACAAAATGGACAGGGGAGGCTAAGAAAGCTGTGCCTGTTCAGCTTGGAGAGGGGAAGGCAAAGGAGAGATTTTACTGCCGTTTGCAACTATCTGGTAGGAGGATGCAGAAAAGATGGAACCAGGCTATTCTCAGAGCTGCACAGTAATACGACGAGAGGCAACAGGCACAAGCTGGCTATATACGGATAAAAACTGTATTATATACAAATTAAAACTCCTATTAGGTATTAGGAAATATTTCTTTTTTTACCATGAGGGTTGTTGAATATTGGAACAACTTGCTGAGGGACACTCTATTCTTGGAGGTTTTCAGGGCTTGACTGGACCTGGCATAGAGCAAGCTGATATAATCAGACCAGTTTTGATGAGCGGATTGGACTAGATGAGCTCTGGAGATCTTTGTTCCAACCTAAGCTCTGATTCAGTGATTCTTATTGGGAAGAGTAAACGTGGGTATGGATTTACCAAGGGAAAATTATGCCTGACCCACCTGATTGCCTTTACTAAAGGATAAAATAACTGGATTTGTAGACAAGAGGAGAGCAGTAGATATCATTTACCTCACCTTGAGCAAGGCTTTCAACACTGTCTCCTGCATTGATCTTGTGTCAAAGGTAGGATGTTGGCCTGCTGGCAGGGCTTCCCTCTGGACAGGCTAGAGAAACAGGTTGGTGGGAGCCTTAGGAATTTCAATAATAACAAATGCTCTGTCTTGCACCAGCCCTTACAGCGCAGGCTGGGAATGGGCTGGCTGGGAGCAGTTCTGCAGAGATGGCCATGGGCCCTGGCAGGCAGTGTCCCAGGCAGTGTGAACAGTGCACAGCCTGAGGAACCAGGTTAGGGTGGGATTTACCCCCCTCTGCTCAGCACTCGTTAGACCTTCTACTGACACGTCCAATTTTGGATCCCCCAGTACAGGAGGGACACTGACCAGCAGGAATGAATTCAGGAGAGACCGTGGAAACAGCAGGGCTGGAGCCCATGCCTTGTGAGGAGAGGCTGTGGGACTGGGGTGGTTCAGCTAGGAGGAGGGACAGCTTCTGGGGTACCCAACAGAAGCCCTGGCACTGAAGGGAGGGGGATGAGGAAGACACAGCCAGGTTCTTCACAGCAGTCTGTGGCAAAAAAGCTCAGGCTAGTCATGAAGAGGAAGGTTTTATCAACCAGAACAGCTCACTAAGGTGCTGCCTTCTCTGTTCTTGGAGGTTTTCAAGCCCTGATGAGACAAAGACCTGAGCGACCTGGTCTGACCCCATGGCTGAATGTCCTTGGAACTGGAAGTTGAGCTAGATGCATCCTTAGGTCTCTGCCAGCCTTAGTTATCCATTGATCCTTCAAAATTTCCAGGCATTCCATATGCACATGCACGTGCCTTTGCTGAGGGTGAATGCCAAGGACCGAAGAACTGTTTAGATGGTATTTTAAATTCATTAAATTGCATTGATACTGGTGTTGCCTTGTAAATATCTTGTTGATGTTTAGTGTAGATTGATTTAAATTGAGGAATTGTTTCTGATGGAGGGGCAGTAGACTTCTAGTCTACATGCAATAACCGGTTTGTGCTTCCTTTGAAAGTATCTACTGTGCTTCTAATGATCCTCTACTGTAGTTTCTCCTCTTAATATGAATGATAAAAATTACCTGGTGACAGATAGCATAAAATTCTGGTGTGTTTGTGTCAAAACTACCCGGGAAGGAGCCTTCCATCATTTTGCTGCTTGTTAGGTAGAACTGGAGGGGGTTGGTTTTGTGACTTGGTATATAGAAGGAGGCTGAATGCATCTAGATCCACTGGAGTTTAGAGATGCTCAACAGATCTAGGTATGTCTGGAATTGTTTGCTGTAGTGATTATATTTATTTAAAAAAAAAAAGGCAAGATGTCAACTCTAGTTTAATATGTAGTCATTTATTATATGGACACCTATTGTCTGAAAATGCAATTAAGTGTATTCTAAAACAATACAAACCCATACTGGCGTAATTCTGAATGCAGTCAACAGGGTTTTTTTTAATCCTAGACTCTCAGAAATGTAATTCACAAGTATGTGGGAATATTTTGCTGTTTAACTGCCAGGGTTTTATATTCATTGAGGTGGTAACTACTAATGTTGAGTTTTCCTGCTATGAAGAGTATTTGTTGTAGTACATGCTGCATTTGCATGTTTCCAGGGTTTAATTCTGTCTTTGTAAAAATAAGTGGCAAGATTCTGAACGCATCACACCGATAGCATGTCTTGAAATTGGAGTATTGCACATGTATATGTTTTCTCAGTGCTTATTGCAATGGATTACACTTAGGTTTTCAGCAAGTGCTAGGTTTTTTATTTTTTTTTAAGGAAGCCGTCCCAAATGACTGGAGGTGTGTTTACAGTAAACTGAAATGTTTGAATATTTGCTGTTGGCCATTAGTTTCACTGGTGTGCAACAAGGTAACCTGAGTTCTGATTTCTCTCCGATTTAGGTTCCTGTGTGCTTGTGGGTGCCTGCATATTTCAACTTACAGAGAAGAGGTTTTTTGTCAAGTGTTCCAGCCCCTAACTATAGTTACCATTTACAGTCTCACAGGTGGGTCTTTTATTTGTTTTACTTCTGGTTTTGCATGAAATAATTGAAAAATTTATGGAGAATTTTGCGTTTTAAATCATGTTTTAGAAACTGTGAACACTCTCTTGAGCTGTCCCATTTTCAAGTAAATGAGATATACTTAAAATGCTCTCAAGGGTAAATGCTCACAGACTACACATATGCTGTGCCATATGGAACTGTATATTTGCTCCAGCTTTAAGAAATGTTGATCACCCATTCTTTGTGCAAGACCAATGAGTATTCAGCATTTCTTGGATTTAAGCCCATAAAGCAAGGTGATATGGTAGACTCAGCAGGGGGAAGAAAATGCTTTAATGCTTACATCTGCTGTTAAGTACAACATAAATCTTGTGTGGTTTTGTCTGGCTAATAGCATGCTTTCTTTCCTAGTCCGAAGTTTATTTTTTTCATCTCTGTTGCAGAGTGAGAGTTAGTGTCATAGGACAGAGCCAAAATGTTGGATGACATCAAGAAGCGTTTTGAATTTCCTAATGCATTTATTCAGTCACAGGTAATTTTTTTAAAAGCATTAAACAAATTTCATTGTCTGTGGAAACCTTTGTTCCAAGGCCTGCTGCCTGACTGTAGAAAGGTGATAAGGAAGACTTTTGGGGGGTGTTTTCTTTACTCCAAAGGCAGAAAAACATAGAAGAAGGGAAGTTGCAAACAAATGCTAATTGCCCTCTCTATGTAATCCAAACATTGGACATAATTGCTCATCACTGTAAAGTCTCTGCAGGAAAATCAGAAACTTTCCAGGACTGAAAGGTTTAAGTGGGACCAAATGGTTTTTAGTGACCCTGTGATCTCAAGAGAAGGCAGGAGTTACCAGAGGTCATGTGTGGGGTCGAAGTACCTGACAGTACTTTATAGAACTGTCTTTAGGACTGGTCTGTTTTCTTTCTGTGTGATGAGAGCTGATGAACTACTGCAGTCTTGTTTGTGATCAAAGAATAACTGCATACAGCTCCACTGTGATCAGCAGACCAAACCCCTTTATTTTCAGAGCCATGCATTGGCTCCTGATCATGTTCACCTGAAACTTTCTCATATGCATAAAGCGCTTATAGTGTTTTTAATGGACAGGAAGGAAGAAAGTAATAGGTTCTATTGAAAAAATACACCTTCCTTGCTTTGGCCATCTCTCATTTCAGTATTAAAACTGTATCTCTTCGGCTGTAAGACCATTGCTAACTTCTGTGTTTTCTTCCTGTTCCTGTTTTCAATTCAGGATTAAACGTGTAGCCATTTGTTTGATGGAATAAGTTGATGTGAATGCAGTCTGTGCAACCTGGTGTCTGTTGCCTTTTCAGTTCAGCTCAATCTACCTTGGTTTATGATAATTAAGTTTGAAAGAGAGATGCAGAAGTCCACTTGTGTTCAACTTGGCATTTAGGAGAGGAAGTCATGTCCCTGAAAGCTAGAGTTCATCTGAGGTCTAGCGAAGTGTCTTGTACTGCAGATGAGTTCACATCATTACTAGCCTTGATGAGTAGGACTCGGCATCTTTGAACCAGTTCATTTTTCTTCAGTACAGAAGAATGTCCCCATGGTACAAGTATTGCTGAAATGTCTTGGCTCATCACTACAGCTACACATCATTAAGGACTGCTGGTGTGCTTTGGCTGATTTTGTGCTGTGCTTTGGTTATTTTGCTAGTTTCCACTTATATTCTGTGACCCCTGAAAAGCATGCTGTAATCTTCAAACTGTCATCAGGCCAGGATTCAAATTCATGAGACATGTCTTCTCTTTCTGGGACCAACCAAGACATCTGCTCTGCAGAGCGTGTAATCTACACAGACAAGGATCAGCAAAGTGAGGAACTTGAGCATAGTTTTGTAGGTCAAAAGGTTTTACTGGTGAATCAAGTTCTTGGAATGCACATTTGGAATGCACGTTTTTACTTTCCTGTATACCTTACTGCAAAAAACACTTTCTATTCATATGCCCCTTTTCCAGTGTAATGAAAGTGTTTTAAGGATGTGGGTATGAATTAATTTCTGAAGTCCCTTATAAGTGGGGAAAAAGAAAAAATAATAGAATTCATTTGGTAAGTGCACTAAAAAAGATCTCTTCTGCCTCAGGATAACAGTAAAAAGTAGTATGCCACCATTATGGAAATTTTTGGCCGTAAAACATATTTCAGCTTCCATACCAGTAAGTTTGGTATTTCGAATAGTGATAAAATGATCGTATGCAACAGCAGTGTAAATACTTCCTAATGGAGAATTGAAAAATAATGCTTGATCCATATGTGGTTTTTATTTCTTTTTCTCTTTTAGGCAGTGGGTCATCTGATTGCTGTAATATTGCAAGAAAATGTTTCTTCGGAGAAGATCAGACAGGCGTCTGACCAGGTCTGTGACATTCTTTCACTTCTGTCTCCTCTCTCATCCATATGTGTTTACATTTTTCTATGGTTTCCCATTCCCCATTGTGTAATTTTAATAAATCCTAGAAGTTAATTAAGGTAGGTAGCAATATGTGTCTGGACGTACGGGTAGAAACAGTAGATCTCTGGGATCGGAAAAGCAGTTTTACTTCCATCAGAAGTCTTAATGGCAGAAGTCTTAATGCTGCAGAATACCAACATCTAGCTACGCTCAGTTTGAGAGTTTTATTTGAGTTTGTTTACATTACTGCAAGTGAAGTGCCATATGGTGAGACATTGTCACTTGAGTAGGAAAGACTTTTACATCACTATAAAAATTTCAAAAAGTATGGCATTTCTCACACCTGTATTGGTGTTATATCTCATATTAGTTAAGTAGAGCTTATATAATTTGCCTTTTAGTTGAGTTAAGCTTGCTTAAGTGCAGATCTGTCTTGTTAACTGAGAGGCATATGAAGTGCTAGCATTTGCAAGTGTCACAGCAGTGTAGGAGGGGTGTTAGGATTTTCTCCTCTGTTTTACTTCCCCAAAAGGTGCACAGAAATGAGCAGAAAATGATTGTTGGTTTTTCTTCCCAGTCTGAAGTCTTAAAACCATCCCCCAAACTAGCAAACCCAAACCTGAAAAATGCTGAGTTTTGATGTGAAGGAATGTTGGAGGTGTGTAGTTTCTCTAACAGAAGCTCCTCCAACAGTCCTAATCATAATGATGTTCCTCAGTGACATTCTGTTTTGAGCTACAAGCTGTCTCTTCCTATTTGCTGTCCCATGAAATACAGCAACACCTTCTAACATGCTAAGAAGCACAAGATTATGCCGCTTAGATGTTACAGGCTCCCTTTTTATTCAGGAGCGTTTTGCAGTGTTCAGTTGTTTAAAAATATTCCTTGTTTCTCCATTTGGAAGCTACAAAGTCAGCAAACTAACCTGTGAATGTAAATTTAGCATGAAAACAAGCAGCAGTTTTGATAGATACTGCCAAATCTCTGTGCTTACTAGCAAATGGAGAGAACTGAGGACTACATAGAGTGAGTAAAGATGACTTCTCTCTGGATAGCCCTTTGTATGCCTGCCTCTAAGCTGTCTGCACTACACCTTGCTGTAGACATAGCTTGACATAGGAGTTCCTGAGTTGTCTCCAATTACATCTTGATCTTTTTAAGGAAAGTGAAATTCATGATAGCCTACCTGCATAGACACAGCTGAAAAATTCTTCTGTCTTACCCTTTTCTCAGAGACTCCTGTACCTACTGAAGGCATAGGCAGTAGGGGGCAGGAAAGCAGGAGCTGTCCTGGGAAAGGCCTTCCGTGGATGTAGAATCTGTACATCAGCTTCCTCTCCTGTGCTCTCTGAGACTTCAGGAGAAGCTGTGGAGCAGGTTTCTACTTAAAAATGCGTTTGAGATGAATGAAGAGAAATTGGTGTCAGCCTTCTCATTGTTTGTGTCTCATGCTTTTGACTTCAGACTCCTGCTCTGAACTTGCTTTGGGAGAAGTGCTGCAGTGAGAATGCTGCCTTGCGAACAGCCTGCTCTGAGGGGTTGGTGGCACTTGTTGAAGAGAAACATGCTGAGCTCAACTATGTTCTTCATGGAGCTCTCAACCTAATTCCCTCAGCAAGGTAGTGTTTGGTTGTCTAATCTTGTGTCCTTTGTCAGCTGGTTCTCAGTCATTGTTTTTCCCTTGTAAATACAGGGGAAGAGGAGAGGTTCTGTAGATGACAGTGTCTTCAAATAAGTTGTGGCATTAAGGACTGGCATTGCCCTGCTACTTTGCTGAAGGCTGTTGCTTTCATCTTGGCAGTGTGACAGCATGGGTCTGACTTAAGAAGTCATAGAGTATCCTATGCATGTAAGCTGAAATTGTTAGCAGTTCATACTAATGTTCTGAACTTTGAACTGTGGAACCTCAGAAATCAATGCACTGCCTAGTTTTGTTGCCTTTATCATGGGGAAGGGGGAAGAAAATGGCAGCAACTTCCGTTATGGGGGAGGGAAATAACTTTCTCATCGGTCTGTCCAAATAACTCGTTGCTCAGATAGAGTCACCATAAGACTGTGTGTGTGGATTAGGAATGCTGGGTTTTGTTTCCTTGTCTACTGAGGAAGAAATCACGTTACCTACCTCTGCAGCTACGTCCTCTTATCTGCAGATATAACGCCTACATCTCACAAAGGTGTTTTGAGCTAGACTGCCTGTGCAACATACTGAGAGAATGCAGTTGTGGGGGAAAACGACATAGTGCGCAAAATTTATAAATGGGAAGTCAAATGATTGGGAGGATGTTTCCATTCAAATGTACCAACCTTATAAAGTTCCTTGGGTTATCTTTTTCTCTCTTCGGATTTTGGCAGCTAACTGGATTTCTGCACTAAGCCTTCTTATTCTCTTGCTAGAGAATGCTAGAATTGTTTTTAGCCAAGCCAGCTAATTGGTGCTACACCTGTGATGTATTGTGCTGGTAGGCTTAACATAGAGGTTGCAAGAACCATGCTATTCAATACATGTTTTTCAACCCTTCTTCACATAATCAGTTTAAGGCTGAGGTTTCTCATGATCAGTCTGAGCCAAAGGTGAGTTTAGGTTTGAGTAAACTAGTGAAATGCTTAAGAAATCAGGTATTTTAAGGTTTCTGTCCTTGTGACTTGCTTGTTTACAGCTAGGATCTTGCTGTGATGATGCTGATTCTATGCTGAGTTTACAATAGGTGGTTATGGATCCCTAGGGTTTTGTAAATATATTTTTATAATGTGAATAATTTCTGCAAACTACTGTCCTCCAAATTAGAAAATTTTACTAGTTCAGTTTGGGGTTACCTGAAGAATCTGCATTGTTAACAATGAAGCAGAAGCACCTGTGCTTAGACTATGAGAACCTGAGTCCTGTGGAATAAGGTGGAGGGAAAGTTTCATTAGCTGTGGCTTGCACTCTAAGGAATGTGAAATTCCTGTTCAACTAAGGTTTGTTACTGTATCAGCAGTTTATAAGAAAATGAAATGTTAATACAATTTTGTACTTCAGAAAATAAAAAGTGTAAAATGGGATATTTAGGATTGAGTTAACCTCAAAACCAAAACCCAAGTTATGTATTGAAAGGGCTTGGATCTGCCCCCTTTCTGCAACATTCTTAGATTTTTTCCATGTGTGAAACCAATACACGTGACTGATTGCTATAGTAAGTGCCGGCAAATTACCCGGGAACCTTTTACGTATTTTTGGCTTCTTTCCCCCCACACCCCAAGCTGCCATGATTCAAACCACATCAACTGTGGATTGCAAAGCAGGGTTTATGTAGCCTAACCACAGAAGTCCATGGGTTTAAAATGTCTGTAGTGTCAGGAGCTGATGAAACTGACAATTTCAGATGGGTTCACTTCGGTGCTGATGCTTTTTTTTTTTTCTTTCCTTGACTTTTAGAATTGTAGCCTGCTGTTCTTCATCCTGTTCCCTGCCAAATTTTAATTCAGGTTTGCTCTGTGGCTTTGCACTGCTGTGTGCATAGTGTCTCTAAAATAAAGTACATATGAAATTAGCAGCCAGTGCCACCCACCAGAAAGGCACTTGTAAGTGCTGAGCACCTTTCAGTGCTGAATGGAGTTAGGCGAATGTTTATTGGCAAAGACTGCTCATGTTGTGTTCTAGCTTCTCTTCCTTCTGTTACAATGAATTTAGCAGGGGCTTAGTGCACCTGGTGGGTTTTATTTTGTCAGGTGTGTCAAATTCTGCATGCTAAGAAAGACATCTTGCTTTGTCAGAGGTGAGCATCCAGTGCTTATCTGAGTTGACTTATGTGGTTCACGCTATCTGCTCATTATACAAATGGGAATCTATTCTTACCTCTCTGGTGCATCATTGTACCATGACTGTCTCTTAGACCCAGTGTCCAGTTTCCTCTGATGACCCAAGAGTTTAAACTTCATGGAATGTCATATTTATGTGTGTTTTTGTGTATGCCTATATAGAAAATACATATATATGTGTAAATTAACATCATCCTCATTTAACACATTAGCAAGCTGAGATACAGTAATACTAACAGTTCGGCATAGAGTGCAGTATGCTCCACAAACATCTTCCTAAATTATGAATGGATATACATACATTTAGACTTTTAAGCTATACCTAATCAAAAAGAAATATCATGACTTGATATTTACAAACACTTTAATGAAGATTCAAAAATTGCAAAGGCAAAGGATCATATGATTATAGAATCACAACCTAAAAACCCCTCATATCATTCTTAAAAGAAAATGGAAACACACAGGAAAATACCACTTTTACCTGCCAGAGCTTTACTGTACTTAGCACCACCTGCAGGCTCTTTTCCATAAGCTGGTATGACACACCAGGGAACATCTAGATTCCCACAGTGGATCTGCCCACCAATAAATGCTTAGTTTCATATTCCGGATACAGGCAAAGCAGTACTTTCTTCTGTGCCTTTCATACTTTTGCCAGCAGTGCTGGAAAACACCGACCCAAATCAAAACTGACAGAATATGCTTCTGTTTTCTTTCTTTCTGACAAAAATGGACCAGTTATAAGATGTGCCTGTACTCTTTAAAATGACTGGGTGTTGTGACACCTGGCTCTTGAAACACATCCAGCCTGTGTCTGTGAACTCCTGTCTTTTAACAGTGTTCATGTAAAGTCTCCCTGTTCTTTGATAGAAATTGCTTAAATTTGTTCAGACTTTTTGGTATTGTGGTGGGTTGACCCTGGCAGAATGCCAGGTGCCCACCAAAGCCGTTCCATCACTCCTCCCTCCTCAGCTGGACAGGGGACAGAAAATATAACAAAGGGCTTGTGGGTCGAGATAAGGACAGGAGAGATCACTCACCAATTACTATCAACAGGCAAAACAGACTCAACTTGGGGAAGATTAACTCAATTTATTACCAGTCAACTAGAGTAGGGTAATGAGAAATAAAACCAAATCTCAGAACACCTTCCCTCCAACCCCTCCCTTCTTCCCGGGCACAACTTCCCTCCCAGATTCTCTACCAACCTCCCTCCGCCCCCAGCGGCACAGGAGGATGGGGAATGGGGTTTACGGTCAGTTCATCACACGTTATTTCTGCTGCTTCATCCTCCTCAGGGGCAGGATTCATCACACTCTTCCCCTGCTCCACTGTGGGGTCTGTCCCACAGGACACAGTCCTCCACGAACTTCTCCAACGTGGGTCCTTCCAACGGGCTGCAGTTCTTCACGAACTGCTCCAGCAAGGGTCCCTTCCATGGCATGCAGTCCTTCAGGAGCACACTGCTCCAGTGTGGGTCCCCCATGGGGTCACAAGTCCTGCCAGAAAACCTGCTCCGGCGTGGGCTCCTCTCTCCACAGATCTGCAGGTCCTGCCAGGAGCCTGCTCCAGCGCGGGGTTCCCATGGGGTCACAGCCTCCTTCGGGCACCCACCTGCTCTGGCATGGGGTCCTCCCTGGACTGCAGGTGGGTATCTGCTCCACCGTGGACCTCCATGGACTGCAGGGGGACAGCCTGCCTCACCATGGTCTTCCCCACGGGCTGCAGGGGAATCTCTGCTCCAGTGCCTGGAGCACATCCTCCCCCTCCTTCTTCCCTGACCTTGGGGTCTGCAGGGCTGTTTCTCTCACATGTTCTCACTCCTCTCTCTGGCTGCTGTTTCTGTCTGTCCCAGCAACTTTTTTCCTTTAAATATGTTATCCCAGAGGTGCTACCACTATCGCTGATTGGCTCAACCTTGACTGGCGGTGGGTCTGTCTTGGAGCCGGCTGGTATTGACTCTCTCGAACACAGGGGAGGCTTCCAGCAGCTTCTCACAGAAGCCACCCCTGTAACCCCCCACCACTACCAAAACCTTGCCACACAAAGCCAATGCAGGTATATAGCTTAAAAGTCTAAATGTATTTATATCCATTCATAATTTAGGAAGATGTTTGTGGAGCATACTGCACTCTATGCCGAACTGTTAGTATTACTGTATCTCAGCTTGCTAATGTGTTAAATAAGGATGATGATTTATTTGTCCTATGAGAGCATTACATAAATTCTGCATAATTTCTTGTTTCCAGCTCTCCATCTGAGGAGTTCCTTGCAGTTTTCCATTCACTGATGGAAAAGTAGAATTATAGATAATGCAGATTTCTCAGTTTTTCTCCTGCTAGGAGGGAAAGAAGGGGGAACAGTAAAGAAGAAACAAAAACCCAGTTCCCAGTTCTCTTTTTCTTCTCTTATCTTGCCCTGTGTGGTAGAAGTAACTTTTTGTCAGGTGACAATCTCTTACAATTGTATATTGTGTTAGCTCTTCCTGTTCATTATGTGAATAAAGCGAGGAATAATTGTGGTTTACTGATGTGAGTAGTAAACTATCTAATAGATTTTTAGGGCGCGACAATGCAATTGTATAGCATGTTCTAGATTAAAACTCAAAGAATCAACCATGACTTTTTTTTCCTCTGCTTCTGCATTTTCACCTTGTGAAAACGTGTTTCATTATAGAATCCAGGCTATTTTCCCGAGAAGTGATTGGGTTGGATCTGGCATGGTCCAGTTGGAAAGGTGTGGAAAGCACTTAATTAGGAAGAGGAGAGCACAATTTTGAAAATTGTCCTTGTAAGCTCAGCTAAGCAGTAATAAGCTCTATACTTGAGCTTTTTACTGCATGGTCACAGAACTTTTTTTCCCCCTTGTGGTGGACTTTTAATATGTTTAGTTTCTCTCTAGGAGAATATGGGAAATCCTATCAAAATTCCAGAAATACTGCTGTTTCTTGAATTTTCCTGAATGGTAAATGAAACAACATAGAAGGAAGGAGTTAAAATAGCTGTATGTACCTATTTTATGTAGTCCTTGGGTCCTGAGATCAAAAGGCAGGGTAAACTACATGTCTCAAGTGTCTTTTGTGACAGTGTGATTTCTCTTGCTTTCTCGTGCTAGGCAGTGGCATGGTTGAAATCTATGTACCATACTGAATGTTCACCTATATACTTGCTTTCAGAGGAGCTAATTTTCCGGTTTTAACATCTTAAAATCACCAGTTTCAGGAAGGCTGGGAACAGCAAATGTACTTGTAAGATATGGTAGAAGCAAATCATCAAAAGTTTTAAGTGATGCGTTAATTGTTATTTCTGGTGTTTTGATCATTATATAAAAAGGAGAACAAAGACACGTGGATGCACAACTTGCCCAAAATTGTGTAGGCAGGTGTGAGGAGGTCCTTAAAGAGAACGCAAGGCTTCTTGAGTGTCAGTTTTGTTCCTGGATTCTTCCTCTCATGGAAGAATGAACTAATGTAACTACATACATGACAGTAATGGATTTCTCTTTTGTTAACAGGAATGTGCATGGTTTAATAAGAACTATTTGGAAATTACTACAAATTCAAGCTATTCAACTGGGAAAAGATGGAGATGAGGCTGTTTGGAATCTGTATGGAATCAGGTTAGTTTCACATTGGTTTTATTTAGATACCGTAATAACTTTTTGTCTGATTTCCAAAAAAAACATAGATTAAGTGCTGATACTGACTTTCAGTCTGGTTTGGTTTGGTGGTTTTTTTTTTGGTTTTTTTTTTTGTACTGTGCAGGTAATCAAGCACTGGCACAGGTTGCCCACAGAGATTGTGGAATCTCCATCCTTGGAGATACAAAACCTGACTGCATGTGATCCTGGGCAGCCTTCACTAACTGACTCTGAGCACGTGGGTTGGATTAAATGATCTGAGGATGTCCCTTACAACCTAAATGACTGTCTGATTCTGTGATTTTTTTTTTTTTTTGGTTGAAAGTTTTAAGGAGTTTTATAATACAGGGATAAGATTGCTACCATAAGCTCAAAAAGGGCAATGGCAACATGAAAGCTGTGTGCAAGAAAGAGCAAATAAATACTGGGACTTGTTCAAAAACAGCAGCTGGATGATTGCTAATAGTCATTTTAATGAGTCTTTTATTTTAAGACTGTGAACCACTTCTCTCTCACTTGTTTTTCCTGCTTTATTCCTGTTATCAGAGTAAGGTTCCTGAATGCTTTTACTGTTGCCATAAAAAACCAAATGATTTAAAGATGCATCCAGAGATAGTAATATAAAGCTGCTTGTCAGGCAATAGCAGCCTTCCTAAGGGGACATCTTGGTGATTTCATCCAGCTTTTGAGAAACCATGAGCCAGTGCTGACATTAACAGCCACTATTGTATCTTTTCTGGACATGGTCCCAGCTTGGTAGATGTCATGAACATTTTTCAGGTTGCTTTTTATGCAGTTAAGAGGTTTCATTGTAGTAGGCTGTAGCTATAACACTTTAAGGATATAGAAGGCACTTCTTGGAAGACAGGAATTATGTCTTAAGCAAAATGAAATAGTGAAGAAAAGTGAAACAGACTTTTGGAGTGCTGGATGTGCTTGCATTCCTGAAATCCTGTGTGCTTTTGTTTTCCTAGCTATATCAGTTCTTTCTGCAAAGTCCACACTCTTAGAGAACAATTTTAAATAAAAAGGCAAGTAATGAAGGGTAGTTTAGGAAACTTTCTCTTTAGTAGTAAACTGATTTAAAGTCTCCTGGTAGAAGAGGCCAAGTTAAAGCAACTTAATCCAGGCTCCCTGTGAAAAAAGAGGGTAGTAGTATGTGCCTGGAATAAAGAAATAACTTCTGCCCAGTAGGGTGAAGAAAAGATTATTACTCCAGCCCCTCCTCCTGCAAGAAAAATTGCTGGTAGCATACAAAGAAGGCGAAATTCGATCATTTAGAATGGTTTAAAGTAAACTAAGAGAGAACTGAAAATAAGCAGCAGACTTGTACTTAGTCAGTATATTTTTTGTTTTTCCTTTTGCTTCCAGCTAACTTTAACAAAGAGAGATGTCAGATTATTTGACTTAGTTTTGAATATCCAGTAGGTTAAGGCCCTGGGGTTTTGAGATCTGACTTTTGGTTTCCAATGTACAGAAAGGCCTGTCTTTATTCAGTGGCTTGTTACGTAACAATTTTTGTAGTTGTGTACTGTCAAGTGCCATTAAAACTTCATTTCTGAAAGAAATAGAAGAATGTATACAATAACTCATGAACAGTAACCTCCTATTACAGTGTTCATGTATTATGCTGTCAACTATGCAAAAGTATTCCATACAAAAATCATTAATGAAGAATCAAAAAACACCAGTATGTTCTCAAGTAGTTTGCTATTGTCATTTCTCCTGGGAAATTTTAAAACCAATATTACAGGGTAATGAATCAATTTGGTTTAGACCACTGTTAATTCTGGACAATAGAATTACATTTATAATACTGATTCTTGTGATGATGTAGTACCATGAACAGTTCCTGAAAAGAAATAGGAGAAAATAATGTCTTGCAATTTGAGGGGTTTTGTCTGGTTATGTTGTATTGGAGCCGCCATCATTGTGCTATGCTTCGTATTTGCAGCTAGAACAGTGTTGATAACACACCAGTGTTTTGGATACTGCTGAGCAGTGCTGTCTCTCTAGCCCACTCCCACCCCTTCAAAGGCCTGTAAGGTGGGGGTGGCCAAGACTTTGTGAGGGGTCATAGCCAGGACAGCTGACACAAACTGACCAAATGTCTATTTCATACCATTACGATGTTGTGCTCAGCAATAAAAGTTAAGACAAAGGAGCTGGGGCTGGCATTCATGATTAAGGCATTTGTCTTCCAAAGCAACTGATACATGTAGTGAAGCCCTACTTCCCAGGAAGTGGCTGGATATCTCCTGCTGAGGGGAAGTGGAGAATAAATCTTTGTGTTTTCCTTTGCTTTTGCACATGGCCTTTGCTTTTCTTTATTAAATTGCCTTTATCTTGATGCACAAATTTTTAATCTCATTTTAGAATAGAATCATTGTTTGGAAAAGACCTCTAAGATCACTAAGTCCAACTGTCAACCTAGCATCACCCTGCCCTTTAAACCATGTCCTGAAGTGCCATGTCTACATGTTTTTTGAACACCTCCAGGGATGGTGACCCCACCACTTCCCTGGGCAGCCTCTTCCACTGCCTGACAATCCTTTCAGTGAAGAAATTTTTTCTAATAACCAATCTAAACCTACCTTGGTGCAACTTGAGGCTGTTTCCTCTTGTCCTATCACTAGTTACTTGATAGAAGAGACCAGTACCCACCTCACTACAACCTCTTTTCAGGTAGTTGTAGAGAGCAATAAGGTCTCCCCTCAGCTTTCTTTTCTTTAGAATACACAACCCCAGTCTTTTCTGCTGTTCCTCATAGGTCTTGTTCTTTAGACCCTTCGCCAGCTTTGTTGCCCTTCTCTGGACATGCTTCCATATGTCTTTCCTGTAGCAAGGGGCCCAAAACTGAACACAGCACTCAAGATGTGGCCACACCAGTGCTGAGTACAGGGGGACAGTCACCTCCTTGCTCCTGCTGGCCACACTATTTCTGATACAGGCCAAGATGTCGTTGGCCTTCTTGGCCATCTGGGCATACTGCTGGCTCCCATTCAGCCAGCTGTCAACCAGCACCCCCAGGTCTTTTTCTGCCGGGCAGCTTTCCCCAAGCCTGTAGTGCTGCATGGGGTTGTTGTGACTGACATGCAGGACCTGACGCTTGGCCTTGTTGAACCCCATACGGTTGGCCTTGGCCCATTGATCCAGCCTATCTAGATCCTTCTGTAGAGCCTTCCTGCTGTTGAGCAGATCAGCACTCCCACCCAACTTGGTGTCTTCTGCAAACTTACTGAGGGTGCACTCGATCCCCTCATCCAGATCATTGATAAAGATACTAAACAGAATTGGCCCCAAACTGAGCCCTGGGGAACACCACTTGTGACCGGCCGCCAACCAGATTTAGCTCTGTTCACCGCAACTCTCATGGGCTCTCCCCATGCTGCTGAGCAGAGAGTGGGAGAGCAGCTTGGTGGGCACCTGACAGCCATCCAAGGTCAACCTACCGCATAGGTTTTCTGATTTCATCTGGGGAAGCCTCTGTAGTTTTAATGCTGGGATTCTCCACTTTCTGTAAGCAAATTAACCTTGGAAAATAGAGAAGGGATTACCTCTGTTACTGTAGAAAGTGGGAAATGTTCCTTTTGCCCTAGTAAGTTGGTAGAAAACTGCCTCACATATCACTGAATTTTGGGATTCCTGTAAGTACTACTGATGGGGGTTTTTTTTGGTTGCTTGTTTGTTTTTTTTTTTTCCCTAACTAGTACTCCAGTGGTGGATAAATACCAAAACAAATATGCTGGGTTTTTTTTAAGGATGTGTGAAAAAATTTATGTGATTCTTAAATTCACATATGGGATGATCTGCACTTTTTGTTGTGAAGTTAGGACTAGCTGTAGCAGAGACAGAAGTAGTCTGCAAGTTGGTGCCACCGTGGACTGGAACTGAGCATTCCCAGTGGATTTATTATTTGTTGCCTGTTTCCTGTGCATATTACTATTGCTGTCTAGTAACCTAAGCTCAAGCTGAATTGAGTGGGAGGGCAGGGAAGAGGGTTTTTTGAGGAGCCCTTGTCAGCGTTCTCAGTGCAGGTGGGTTACGACATACATGTACAGAGCTTTGGCTATAAATTTTTGTTGAAAGCTATTAAGTTTTTTTTAAATGAACTAGTATTTTACATTATTCTTGATGATTCACCATGCATGGTTTTTATTGTCTGAAAATTCTGGAGAGCTGCCACCTTTCTGAAATCAGAATTCAGAGCAGGTAGGAAAACGCTTTAAAAATGCATATTTGATGGAGTACAGTGCTATTCCATCTTTCTGAAAGAGCCAGGGTCACAGCTGCATATGCAGGAAAGTATGTTCACTGCAGACATTGTTTCTTCATACAGAAAAGGCAATCTGTCACTGAATTTATGGTCTAAATTAAATTGGAGCTCTCTTGTGTTCAGAGATGTAACAAAAAGGTTGAGATGAACTAAAAGTTAAAAATAATTTTTGTTTTATTGTTACATCTCATCTAAGATTTATCTTTGTTTCTCTAGACACTTACATATCTACAGGTGGATAGCTGCTGTGTCTGACAGTTGTCGTGGTTTAACCCCAGCCGGCAACTAAGCACCACACAGCTGCTCACTCACTCCCCCCCACCCAGTGGGATGGGGGAGAAAATTGGGAAAAAGAAGCAAAACCCACGGGTTGAGATAAGAACAGTTTATAGAACAGAAAAGAAGAAACTAATAATGATAACACAATAAAATGACAACAGCAGTAATGAAAGGATTGGAATGTACAAATGATGTGCAGGGCAATTGCTCACCAGCTGCCAACCGACACCCAGTTAGTCCCTGAGCGGCGATACCCCACCCCCGCTCCCCCCCAGTTCCTGTACGAGATGTGACGTCACATGGTATGGAATACCCCTTTGGCCAGTTTGGGTCAGCTGCCCTATCTGTGTCCTGTGCCAACTTCTTGTGTCCCTCCAGCTTTCTCTCTGGTTGGGCTTGAAAAGCTGAAAAATCCTTGACATTA